GCCTGTTGGCCATCTGCATTTCCTGTTTGGAGAAGTGTCTTTTTAGCTCTTCTGCCCATTTTTTTGATGGGGTTGTTTACTTTTGTTGAGTTTCATCAGTTCTTTGTACATCTTTGTGATCAATCCTTTATCATTAGTTTTGAGTGAAAAAATTTTTTCCCATTCAGTGGGATGTCTGTTTGTCTTTTGTAATGTTGCTTTTGCTGTACAGAAGCTCTTTAACTTGATGTAGTCCCGTCTATGTATCCTTGCCTTCACTATCATTGCATTGGGTGCTCTATCTTCAAAGATATTGCTGAAGTATATGTGGTGTAGTGTTTGGCCCATCTTTGCTTCCAGGTATTTACGGTTTCCGTTCTTATGTCTAGGTCTTGAATCCACTTCGAGTTGATTTTTGTGTATGAGGTATAAGGTAGTGATCTAGTTTCATATTTTTGCATGTAGCTTCCCAGTTTTCCCAGCACCACTTGCTGAACAAATTTTCTTTGTTCCATTGTATCATCTTTGTTACTTTATCAAAAATTAGCTGCCCATAAACATGTGGGTTTATATCTGGATTTTCTATCCCCATCCACTGGTCTGTCTGTCTGTTCTTTTTCCAGTACCATGCAGTTTTGATTATTATGGCTTTGTAATATAGCTTGAGGTTTGGGATTGTAATGCTTCCATTCTCTTTCTTCTTAGTCATGAGAGTTTTGGCCATTCAAGGTCTTATGCTGTTCCATATGAATCTCTATTTCTTTGAAGAATGTCATTGAGACTTTTATTGGGATGGCATTAAATCTGTGTGTCTTGGGATGGCATTAAATCTGCTTTTGGTAGGGTGGCCATTTTGATGATGTTAATTCTCCTGATCATGAGCAGGGGATGGCTTTCCATTTCATGGTGTCTTCTTGAATTTCTTTTAACAGTGTTTTGTAATTTTCTTTGTATAGGTCTTTTACCTCTTTTGTTAGGTTGATACCCAGGTATTTGATTCTTTTTGTTTTAATTGAAAAGGGGTGTTTGTTTGTTTTTTTTTTCAGCTTCTTCTGATTGGTTATTTGTGTATAGGAAGGCCTCTGATTTTGTGTGCTGATTTTATATCCTGCTACCTTGCTAAACTGGTTGATGGTTTTGATTAGTTTCTCTTTGGAGGTGTTAGGGTTTTCCATGTAGATTAACATATCATCTGCAAGTAAGCACAGTTTTACTTCTTCTTTCCCTATTTGGATTCTTTGTATGTCTTTTTCCTGTCTTATTGCTCTGGCTAGAACATCCAATGTTATGTTGAAGAGCAGTGGTGATAGTGGACACCCTTGTCTTGTTCTTGATCTCAAGTAAAGGCTTTCAGCTTTTCTCCGTTAAGGATAATATTGGCTGTGGGTTTGTCATATATGGCTTTTATCATGTTGAGGTATGTTCCTTCTATTCTGAGGATTTAGAGGGCCTTAAACATAAATGGGTGTTGAACTTTGTCAAATGCCTTCTCCGCATCTATTAATATGATTCTGTGGTTTTTATTTTACTGTTGGTTGATGTGATGGATTACATTAATTGATTTTCTGATGTTCAACCATCCTTGTGATAAAAGCCACTTGGTCGTGGTGTATTATTCTTTTAATGCATTTTTGGATTCTGTTGGCTAAGATTTTGTTGATGATATTTGCATCAGTGTTTATTAGGAAGATTGGTCTGAAGTTTTCTTTTTTTGTTTTTCTTTGTTAGGTTTTGGTATTAGTGTGATGTTGGCTCCAAAGAAAGTATGAGTCTGTGTAGAATAGTTCTTTCTGAACGTTTGGTAAAATTCATTTGTAAATCCATCTGGTCCTGGGCTTCTATTTTTGGGGAGTTTTTTGATTACTTCTTCAATTTCCTTCTTGTAATTGGCCTGTTTAGTTGTTCTCTTTCTTCTTTATCTAGCTTTGGGTGGTTGTAGAGTTGTAGGAATTTGTCCATTTCTGCTAAATTATCCAACTTGTTTGCATATAGTTGTTCATAGTGTTCTCTGATTATTCTTTTGATTTCTGCTGGATCTGTTGTGATTTCTCCTTTTTCATTTATGATTCTGTGGTCTTGTTTATTTTTTCGAAGAACCAAATATGGTTTCATTGGTTTTTTGGACTTTTTCTAACATCCATTTCATTTATTTCTGACTTGACTTTTATTATTTCCTGTCTTCTACTGGCTCTTGGATTACTTTGTTGTTCTTTTTCCAGTTCTTTGAGGTGGGACATTAGATTGTTTCTTTGAGTTAATCCTTGTTTCTTTACGTGAACCTGTATTGCTATATATTTTCCTTTTATATCTGCTTTTAATGTGTCTCATAAATTTTTGAGACTTGTGTCATCATTGTTGTTCTTCTCCATGTATTTTTTAATTTCTTCTTTGATCTGCTCATTGATTCAGTGGTCCTCCAGTAGTATGGGTTTCAGTCTCCACATGGTAGATGGGTTTCTTGTCTTCCCCATATGGTTTATTTCTGCTTTGATTCCTTCATGGTCAGAGAAAATAGTTGGTATGATTTCGTCTTAGTGTACCTATTGGTATTTATCTTGTAACCAACTATGTGGACAATCCTAGAGAATGATCCATGTGGGTTTGAGAAAAATGTGTACTTAAATTTTTTGGGATAGATGTCTGTTAGACCCATGTTGTCCAGGTCCTTGTTCAGAGCTTTACAGTCTTTGCTTGTTTTTTGTCTTG